GCATCGGCAGTTCTACTATCTCATTAAAAGGGCAGTTTGTTGTGTTTTTACTCAGTGGTGCAACAGAAACCCATGTTTGAAAGTCTTTCCCATTGATTGCTTTGCCCCTGTCTGTGCCAGGTCCTGATGGTGAGGTTTGCCTCACTGTTTAACATGAAGGAACAGACCGTCACTTTTATCAGTGGAACCACCTACTCCATCGAAGAGCTGCGGGGCATGAGGATGGGAGATCTGCTCAACTCTATGTTTGACTTCAGCGAGAAGCTGAGCTCCTTGCACCTCAGTGAGGAAGAGCTGGGCCTGTTCACTGCCGTCGTACTGGTCTCTGCAGGTGAGGACTGACCTCCGACTGGAGAGGGCTGGATCGATGTATTTGTTCCCAGGGCAAAGTGGCCAATGTTGCCTGAACTAAGTGCAGGTGAGGTCCTTGGGGTATTCTCACTTAACTAGCTGCAGAGACCCAGCTAATGTCCTGGGTTCAAATCCCACTGCATCCAATGGTGGAATTGGAATTGAATTCAATAAGAAAATGTGGAATTAATGATGCCCATGAAATGATTGTCGTAGGGACCAGTTTGAATCAGCAATGCCCTTCAGGGAAAGAAGCTGGCTTTTTTTTTTGAGGGCATCACTGGCTAGGCCAGCATTTGTTGCTCATCCCAGAGGGCAGTTAATAGTCAACCACATTGCTGTAGGTCTGGAGTCACATGTACTTTCCTTCCTTCTCTAAAGCACATCCACAACAATCGACAATGGGCAAAAACGGAAGTTGCTGGAAAAGCTCAACAGGTCTGGCAGCATCTGTGAAGAAATAAAATCGCAGTTAACCTTTTGGGTCTGGTGACCCTTCCTCAGAAGAATTCATGGGCATCATTAGACTCTTTATTCCAGATATTTATTGAATCCAAATTCCACCATCTGCCCGTGGCAGGGTTCAAACTTGAGTCCCCAGAACATTATAGATAACAAGGTGTAGAGCTGGAGGAACACAGCAGGCCAAGCAGCATCAGAGGAGCAGGAAGGCTGACGTTTTGGGCCTAGACCCTTCTTCAGAAATGAATGTTCCCCAGAACATTACCTCGGTCTCTGGATTAACAGCCCAGCAGTAATTGCCACTAGGCCATTGTATTCCATCCAAACCCTCTGAAATGGCCAAGAAAGCCACTCAGTTGTAACCAAGATCCAGCCAGCAATGCTGAGATGCCGTGAGTGTGTTGAAATACAAATTGTGCTGTTTGTGCTATGGGCCCTGAAGCCAAATTGGCAGGGCTCCCTTGGTGCATCAGCTGAGAGCAGTGTAGACTCAGTGTCAAATGTCAGATGTGCACCTCAGCAGCATACAGTGGATGTGCCAAATCTCCTGCGCCTGCAGCAACTTCTGCCCTGATGTTTTGCCTCCTGGTTCCGTGCCAGCACTAAGTCTGTCAGCATGTCTGGAAACAACAACTGGATGGGAAAATTCCCTGGCGTCTGGTGTATAGCTGCACCCAGAAAACATAGAAAAACATGACTGTTGGGAGCAGGTTTGATGCTTCATAACCTTCCACCAAAATACCAGAAGCCCCACATTCCAGTCATCATGTCTTAACACACAGTGAATGAAGTTGTTACCAAACTCACAACGGGCTGTTAGCATCCGAACCTGCCCAGGAGGAGAAACAGAAGTTTACCTCCAGTTTCACAGAAGCACAGAGCTGTCACTGGGAATAAGGAAAGTGTTTGGCTCATTGTGCCTGCACTGATTCTACTACCTCTCTCCTGCTTTCTACCCGTACTCCTGCATACTATTTCTCTCCAAATAATCATCCATTTCCCTGTTGAACGCCTCAATTGAACAAACCTCCACTACATTTCTAGATAGAGCATTCCAGACACTAACTACTCGCTGTGTGAAAAAGACTTTCACCTGTTAATTGATGTTGAGGTGGGTTTTATTGGCCAATTAGTGGGTGAGGACTGTGGTATCATGATGCCAGCCGTGGTGAATGTGCCCAGCCTCGGTAAGACCCATGCCATGGTATCGTTTTGCTGAATGACCAGCAGTTGTTGTTGGGTGGGGAAAGGATTAGATTGCTCACTCCATCACTCAGTCTGCGGAGGGGAAAAAGAGACCGTTATGAAAAAGTAAAGTCGGTTTAGGCTGTGAACTCAGCCGTTCGTTATCATTTCTGGGACTCGCGGTTTTGAAAGCTGCTCGTTTGATGCTTTAACCGTACCTTGTTATCCTCCTGCTTCCAGATCGTTCCGGAATCGAAAACGTCAGCTCGGTGGAACAGCTTCAGGAGACACTAATCCGAGTCCTGAGGGCGCTAATCATGAAGAACTATCCCAACGAGGCATCGCGCTTCACCAAACTCCTCCTGAAACTCCCTGACCTCCGCACTTTGAACAACATGCACTCGGAGAAGTTGTTGGCCTTTCGGATAGATCCCTGAATCTCCTGCCGAGCTGCAGCCACACCAGACTTGTCTCTGTGAAATTTTTAGAGCAATTTTTTAATTTATATTTCAATGAACGTTTGGGTGAAATATTGCATCTTGTAAAAATGTGTATATTTCAGCTGTCAATGGAGTGTAATATATTCTTATAAGGAATGTTCTACAAATTAATAGATTTAACTGTCCTCTGGGGCCTAGGATATGTCTGCAAAATGAGCTTGTTGGTAGAACTCGCCATGAGGTTATCTGTTTGCTGTTTTGGAGTGCTGTCTAAAAGGCAATTGAAGAACTGTGCACCCTGAGCAGTGAGCAGGCAATGATCTGCAGTGCCCTCTGTTCTGTTGCCTTTCTCAATGTTCTCCTTGACTAACTACATGTCTGCGTTTCAGTGTCTGAACCCACACCAAATTCCAGTCTTGTCCTCTGGTCGAACACGATCATCCCGTTTAGCAACTGAAGCAGAGTAGGTGAGACCGCTTCTTGAAGTTTTGGCTGCTCTCTGGTGGAAGGTGAAAGGTGAGGAGTTGACTTCCAGCCTGAGCGTGTGATGTTCCTCACTTACAGCTTGAGCAGCTGAAGCCCGTCTCACCTGTTGCATTTCGTTCCCTTGTTGAGCAGAAATGACGTTTCACCTTGTGACTGTCTCCGTGGCATAGACTGAAGTTTCAAACTGCTCCAGACATTGTATAACAAGCAACAAAGTGGATCAAACTCAAGGCATGACATGCGTCCCTTGAAATTTGCGTTGAAATGATGGGAGTTGTCTGAGAGGAGGTTAATGCATGTTTTGTGGTTTGCTTGTACTTGAGACCTCTATTGAAGATTCAACAGATCAGCTGTCTCCCTCCACTCTCCCTATCCCTGCCGCGCACCCGTGAGCACAAGAGGAGAGAAGACCCTACACCCCACCCCTGGTCTCCTGAATCAATTGGTGCACTGGCCAAGGTGCCTATGTTATCTCTGGGCTAGGGAAACTGTTGGAGGAGCTGAGTGGTTTAGGGAAAAGAACAACCAGCAGTTTCTATCTGTGTTGGAAAATAGATGTTGTGTATTGGGGATGGTTTATATACTTCAATAATTTGAAAAGCTCAAGTGGTTGGTGGAAAGAAGAAGAGACGCTATTGAGGTTTTCCGTCATGTACTCATCAGGACAGATGCAAGAATGCCAAATTTCAAAGGAAACAACAATTTATGCTGCATGAGAAGAGAGTCCTGATTGGCTGGCAAGTAGACTCTGATTGGTCATGGTGTTGCCAAGACGAGAATGCCATGAGAAAACTCAGTCAGTTCTGTATAGTTCTGAGGAAGGGTCACTGGACTCGAAACATTAACTCTGCTTTCTCTCCACAGATGCTGCCATGACCTGCTGCATTTTTCCAGCAATTTCTGATTTTGTTTCTGCATCCACAGTTCTTTGGGTTTTTTTCCCACTAGAGGACTATTGTCCCTTACCCTTTTGTTGAATTGATAAAATTGGTACCACCGACCGACATCTGTATGTGCCTTCAGTTTTGTTATCTGAACGTAATGATCAATTTTGTTAACGGCCTGCTAGTTTGTCTTTGCGTTTGTGTCTGTGCTCCTCCTTGAAACAGTGCCGTGGGATCTCTTACACCCACCTGCACAAACAGGTGAGGCCTTGCTTTAGTGAGACATTGCACCTCCAACCTTGCAGGACTCCCTGAGCACTGCACTGGAGTATCAGCTTTCCTTTTTATTTCCCTCAAGCCCTGGATTGGGACTTGAACCCAGGACCATTTGGCTCAGATGTAAGTTCTACGAACTGAGCCAAGCCTGACATTGAACATGTTCCTTTCCTCCTTTGAAGTTTGGCGTTCTTGTGTCTGTTGTAACGAATGATGGTGAGATGAGAAACTTTGATGGCCTGTTGGCACGTTCAGCAAGGTTTAAGTCAGAACTCTGACTGACTTTCCCTTTGGGTCCCTAAATGAAGGGTAGTGTCCATGGAACTGTCTCCCAGCAGCGTTAGAGGGAGGAGCTGCGTGAAAGCTGAAGTGTTTTGAACTTTAAGAGAAAAATCCATAACCTTGTGTGGCCGCTGCAGCAGGGCAGAACCTGCTTTCGATAAATAAATTTACTGCATCTGTCTCAATATAGTTCAATAATTGATGTGCATTGTGAATCCAGATGAAATCATTAACAGTTTCTAAGAATAAAAGAATGAATACACTGAGTTAAATAACAAAATGAATCTCTGTGTCATTTTATGGTGGTAGCAGTGAAAGGATTTCGCACCACTGAGTGTCTGAGTCACTCGGGAGGGCTGTAGACTTCCAGAGGCGGATTTCAGATCCCTTCCCCTCTGTGCATTGGCTCCAAGTGGGCAACCCTAGGTGAAAGGTCAGAGGCCAGGGTTCAGCACAGCAGCTGAGATGGAGGAGAAAACCAGGTCACCTTAAACAAAAGTAGATGTTCTGAAACAGTGGGGATTCTGTGTGGGGAGCTAAAGGTGACTGAAGATCCACAGTTCTGACTTCTGGGGAAGAATAGTTTAAGAGTGTGAGACACAGATTGAGCTACAAATAGTTTTCTTCCTTGCGCCAATGCCCCAGGGTTCCTGTAATGCAGTGATTATGGATAAAACTGTGAGGACTCATGAAGAACTCTAAAAATAGATCTCCCCAGCAGCCAGTCTTAGTGAGTCCTTGTTTTATATTTAGCATTAGCCAGCTGCACGAGAAAAGAACTCACATTTATAAAGTGCGTTTCACAGCCTCAGGGTTTCCCAAAGCAGTTAGCAGCCAATATGGTAACTTACAGTGGTGACTGCATTTTTTTAAAAAAACAATGTAGATATCGCAGCAGTCAATTTACAGACAGCCAGTAAATTTTTTTTGTGATGCTTGTCAGGGGATAAGAATCGACCTTTGAGTTGTGATACAGGAGTCTTTACATCTGCCTGACAGGGCAGGATGTGGAGATACTGGTGTTGGACTGGGGTGGACAAGGTCAGAAATCACACGACACCAGGTTATATAGTTTTCAAATAAACCTGTTGGGACTATAACCTGGTGTCGTATGATTTCTGACCTTGGCAGGGCAGGGTAAGGCTTTAGCTTCACCTCACAGTTTGACAAGTACCATCTCTGGGCAGCATCAATTACAATTATCATTGATCATTATCAACGTAATTATCTGTGGACTAGGCTGGAGCCCTTAACCTTCTGCCTCCAAGGCTAGAGTATCACCCACTGAGGCACTCAATAGTAACACCCCTCTTGAGAAATCAGCAGCATTACTAATGTAGGTATCAGGCTGTAGTGCAGTAGTTGAGGCACAGATTATGGGGCAGGGCGATGGATGACAGTATAATGTGGTGTATTAGGAGCTTAGAACACAAGAGCACACGGTAGATGCAGGACTGGAGCATTAAGCCCATCTGTCTGCTCCACCATTCATTACGATCATGACTATTCCTAGGCTTCAACTCCCTTTGACTGTCCACTCTTCATATCCTTTAAATCCCCAAGGAACCAAGTGTCTGTCGAATCAAGCCTTTAATGTATTCAACGATGGAGCATTCACGATCTTCTGGGGTAGAGAATTTTGAAGATTCACCAGTCTTTGAGGGAAGTAATTTCTCTTCGATTCACTCTGAAGTGATCAGCCTCTTATGCTGAGATTGTGCCCTCGAGTTCTAGATTCCCCAACCCAGAGGAAACAACTCAGGGTTGACCCTGTCTAGCCCCTTCACAATCCTATATGCTTCACAGAGATCACTTCTGTCTGCCTCTCACTTTTGGACAACACTCTCAATCCAGGGGCAGGCTGAGAGGACCCTCATTCTCTCCAATGCAATGATATCCTTCCTTAAAAATGGAGACCACACCTCATAACACTCAAGGGTATGCTGTCACTAAAGACCGGTACAATTGTAATAAGACTTCTCAATTATTGTACTCCAAAGCCCTTTCAGTAAAAGGTGACAGGGTATTTCGCTTCCTGATTACTTGCTGTACCTGCTCGTAGTCATTTTATTTTCCTTGTATGAACACAGCCATGTCTCTGAGCTTGTACAAGTTTCACACCATTGGAAAAATGTTTGGCTTTTCTATTCTTACGACCAAATAACCTCACGCTTCCCCACATTATACACCAACTGCCATCTTGTCCACCTGTCTGTATTGATATAACATCCTGAGGGGTTTTCACAGGATACCTGTGGAACAGATGTTTCCTCTTAACGGGAGTGCCTTGAACAAGGGACTTCTGTTAATTTGCTCACAGAATCACGGCGTCATTGGCCAGGCCAGCATTTATTGCCCATTCCTGCTTGCCCCAGTGGCTAGTTAAGAGCCAACATCATTCTGTGAGCCTGGAGTCACATGTAGGCCAGACCAGGTAAGGATAGCAGTTTCCTTCCCTAAAGAACATTAGTGAACTTGATGGTTTTTCCAACAATCAACAATAGCTTCATGGTCATCATTAAGCTCTTAATTCCAGATATTTATTGAATTCAAATTGGATTCAAACCTGGGTTCCCAGAACATTACCTGGGTCTCTGGATTAACAGCCCAGTGATAATATCACTAGGCTAACACCTCCCTGCTTACTGTATATAAATAAGGGCCCACCCATTTAAAACAGAGATGAGGTGGGTCTTTGGAACTGTCTTCCTGAGAAGAGAGTGGAAGCAGAGTCTCTGGATATTTTGA